GAGAATCGATTAGTAAAATGGCATCAGCATTTTCGATTATCTTTATTTATATTTTTAATAATACTAGAAATAATTAAGTATTGTGTTAATATATAAATGACAAAATTACTTTGCAAAGCATAGATTATTATGGAGATTTTTAAAGTGTGGATATTGATAAGATGGAAATATCCTACTAGTCAAAACTATGCCAGTTTTTCTTCTTAACGATAAAAGACTGATTTAATATCTTCAAAGTCGAATTACAATATGAACATGTCGGGGACGTTAGATCCCCAGAACACGCTTGATAATTAATTACCTTATCTTGGATTTCACGTTTGCCAGCATGGCTGATCATCTGACCTTGAGATTTCATTTCCCACCAGGAAAATCCTTGGCTGCTGTGTATTTTAGTGTGCTATTTTTGTGACTGTCCCAAGTACGTTTCTGTGATATATAAATAAACGAGATTTGTGTGTTTGATTGTATTGTGCTTGCTAGGTGTTTGTAGAATATACTTTCTACACTAGATCAAGACTTCTCTTTAGCCGTTTCGAGTCAACGGATCAAGGTAGCCTACCTAGACGCTGGTTCATTGTCTCGTTCGCGTTTATCGACCAAGGTGAACCCGTAATAGCTTCAAGTGTACCTAGTGACGAAACTAACAGAACAATTTTGTTGATGGATAGGTTAACTAACTTTTTGATGTGTTTAAAAATAAAGTTTGAAACCTTTAATACTTATCATAGTATTGTGTTAAAAGTTATGTATATGAACAATTATTTTTGAGGAAAATAATTTTAAAAATCACAGAATTTTTTTTAAAAAATTATCAATCAACTTATCATAGTAATGACAGCTTTATGATCAAGGTAAATTCACGATTCTTGTCATGAAGGTTGAAAATGCATTCTACCCTAATTTGGAACGGTGTAGAAAATTTGTACCTCAAGTGGATGATTGTGATGGTGTTTCGTTCTCTGAGCTCAATGTTTTGGTTGTAGTAGAAGTTTGTTCAGAAAAACAATGAAATCTCCACAACCAAAACATCCAACTCAGAGCATAAAACACTATCACCCTAGTTTGATTTTTAATCATATATAAGCAAAAAGAAAATTACCTAGTTTTAACACTGAATACATGAATCAGTAGTATCTCATTACTTATTTGTTTTAGTTTACACACAACTAAAAGATTGATACAATGAAAATGTTCGTGTTAAATTATATTTTACATTTGAACCAACTGTACAAATCAATAAATGAAAATCTAATACATTTTTAACTGAAATCTACATTAAATGATTTGAAATTCAAAAACAGAATATTTTTTTCAATGAAAGGAAAACCTAATGGAAATTTGGATTTATTGTTGAATGTTTTGGTTGTGAAGCTTTCATTGTTCTTCTGAACAACATCATCAGCACAAACTTGAGATAGAAGAGATGCATTCGAATTTCTCCACGTTTGACCTGTAGCTACAGCTCAGAGAACCAAACACCACCACGATCATCTACCTGAGCTACAAATCTCCTCCACCATTTGGATTTATTGCTATCAAGTATAAATGTTATCAAGTTATTTTTGAGTCATAGAGTGTTGATGTGATAATTTGTATGATACCATTACTAATACTACTACTACTACCAAGTCTACCTTAAAAGCCCAATCGATTTTTTCATTTCCGATATTACAAATCGTGAACAGTTACAACAACAACAAATATTTGTCAATAAACAACTGCCTACACAACAACAGAATTAGTATTTGTAATTTGTGTGTTTCGCTTGTATCGTTGTCACAAAATAGATAAGATAAGATAAGAAAAAAAAAAGGAAGAAATATTCAAAGTAAATTGAACGTGATGAATGAATCATGAAAAAATAAAAAGAAAATACAAATAAGTTGAATCGGAACAAACAAATTTTCAAATATGTCTGTAAATAATTAAGGTCAGTTTAAAAAAAAAAACTTTATCGGATAATTCAACTAATCAGCTTATGCAATATTTTAGATTGTAGCTAGAAATTGAATCCAGGCTGTAGGTCTTGTCTCATTTTGAACACGCTGGATATTAGTGTATTGATAACCTAGTGATGACGTTCACACTGAGAGTTAGACTTTGAATGTTTATCCGAACATTTTAAAACTTGTTACAAAAAAGGCTATATAACAAGGCCAGCATATACAACATATGTTGAAAAAGACTTATCAAAATTCAGTCTTGAGCATTGACAGTCGTAAAAACAAAATGATAATCGCTGTATTACAACACTGTTGGTTTGAGCATAGTAGAAAGTTGTTAGAAACAATCTTTATAATTCACATTTCTTTAAGGCTATGACTAGTAGATATATACTAGTGAATTATAAAAGTTCTATGTCAGTTTAATATTAGACATTTACATTTCATAATGTATATACTAGGTGAATGATTTCTGACGGACTTGGATCTCATTCACTATACTGCAGCACCTAAGAATGATTATATATATATACATATATATAGTGTATGGAAAAATTCCTGAACATTACTAGCTAAATAGAATAACCCGTTCAAATTAAATATCTCAGTAATTTAGGCAAGGCTCTGATAGGTATGACTCCGCCTGTAGACCCTTCGGGGCTACTGCCGTTTCCAAGCCCAGATAAAAGAGGAGGGGTTGGCGCCCCCATCCCAGCAAAAAAAACTAACTTGCCAACAAAACGCTAACCAGCAAGTAAGTCTGATAGGTAGGAAATCTTCTTTTCCATCAAATTACTCGTTAATACTTCGGTAAAAATCTTGATGCGATATTTTGAATGTGTTCATCAACTGAATGCATTTGCACGTATAAAACAATTATATATATATATATATACATATATATATATATATATATATATATATATATATATATATACCACTCATGTTGTTACTGTAACTTAGTAGTGTATTGGTAAACCTTTTGGTATGTGCTGGAAGTGATGAATGACTAGAATTGCATCGCAATGTGAACATTAACAACATATAACCAACTAATTAATAATACCTAATCAGCGCAAAATATGTTTCGTATATTGCTTTGTTATCTAACATGTATTAGTACTATTCAATAATAACCTCGTTTGTAAATAAGTAATTATTCGAAATAAGTTAAATTTCAAGCATAATGTAGCAGTCAGTTAGTAATATTCTGACTTGACTGAATTTCAGATGAATAAAATCTATTGATTTAAAAACGGAACCTATCTGTTATCATATTTTTTATTTCAAGCAATCTACTTTGTTCTGAATGCTAAGATCAAGTAATTATTTCGCTTAGTATTTAATCATTACGACTGTCAAAATTACAATCCTTCAGTTTATGTACGATGCCTTTAATAATCTACCATTCTGAAAGTCATGCAAATTACGCTATTATTATTATTATTATTATTATTATTATTATTATTATTATTATTATTATTTATGTTCATGAAATACAAGTTTACTAATAGTGTTTTGCAGAGAAAGTATTAATGTTGAAATAATTACCATAATCTTTATTACAATTAAACTATGTCACTTTGAACTATGCATATAGAGACGAATGTGAGTACTTCATAACTTAATTACTACTTCATTTATTTTCTTTTCAACAGTGATCTAACACGAATTGGCTTATGGTTTCAATGCGAATGGAATATACAGAATTCTGATACAATTTATCAATGCACATAGGATGACTAATCCTGCTGAGCAATTGATTTAAGCGTAGTCACGTGCTGACAACATTAACTAGCTCTGTCTGCATGATTATATCACATAAACAATCGACTGGACCTTAGTAATGTGAACAGGAACTAAACGTATTAATTTTCATTATGTTAACTTGTGCTGCAGTCGAACAGATTTATAAAATTAACAGAAAAAAACGCTTGTTTACAACTAAAAATCCAAAAATCCTGTTTGGTGCTTCATAATTTCCGTACCAGATTAATTGTAGTAAAGATTTCACATACGAATCAAAGTAATAAAAACCGAAAGCATGTCTGTTATCTAATGGTTAATTCATCAAATCACTTCAACCCACTACATATTAGCTTTGACCGTTAAATCTGCTCGATAACTGATGAAAAAGAACGACAAATAGGAGACCTGACTTCATACCATTGATCCAAGACCTACAACCTCCTTCCAATCTACCCACTATTTTCCTAATGTTGAACACTGACGCAATTATAAGATACATCAATTGAAGTAAGGTTTCAAAGATATTATCTAACAGTTCTATGTCAAAACGCTATGATATTCAAATAGAATAATATCTAACCCATAATATTCTTGATACATCATTTGCAAGAATAAACCATAGATCACGTTCTATCGCAAGCACCCACAAGCATCACGATTTCCAGATGGAGATTAATTAATTTGCTTGTCAATTTCTTGATCAGTTGGGATACTTGCAGTCAATCGAAAATCAACAATTGACAACACCACTAACAAGACTATTCATCAGTCAGTGTTCATACTGTTTACACTTAGTACTAAATGCTACACTCGAATAACAAAATCCGATATTTCCAACCTGCATATTTTGATTCGGTTACTAATGTTTGAATGCGTATTTATTCTATTGTCTATTATTGCATTAATAAAACTTTTGACAAATGCGTCACGCAAGCTTTAATCTAAATTTAAGCTTCAATGATAGAAAGATATAAATAATTCACACTTATTTACGAAGAAATAACCCATAGATGATGTACGCCTAAGTAAACTTGTTCAATTACGATAATGTGAACGAAGGGATTAATCAACGTAATGTGAAAACTTATCGAATGACAAAATAAGACTATCAACCCATAGTAAATAAAAGCAAACAATTAAACATCAAATAATATGCATGTACAAAATCACCGAATACATAGTTAGGTACATACATAATTGTAACTGCAGTCATAATAATAATAATAATAACAATAGAAATAAGAGTAAATATAAACTTCTTTGGAATGTAAGCATAGAAATAATGAATGTAGAAAATAAACACTACTATCGGAAAGAATCATCATCTACCCAATTTCGGAATCTCACCGGTGGCAATGATTGGGAACTATCTGTCCTTGGATCATTTTGACTGTCTAGAAATCGTCGGAGCATTGGAGGAGTGGAAGGATTAGATTGCTCTTCTGTTTTAGGCTGATCATCATCAATACGACAAACGTTAAATCGTGAGCAAATGTTAGTATTAGATTTTTCGGAACAATTTTGAGCGGCATCAAAACTTTCTGAGAAATGTGGCGGAAAATTCATTTCACTGGATGGACAAGAAAAATTGGCTTGCTGGGAAAAAAACCCAATCGATGAATTAGGCGATTGGTTAAAATTGAATCTATGGGGTGTGATATCATTTTGATTGATGAGCATAGGATCACTGGATCCGAATAAAATATTTGATACACAATCACCAGACGATGTGCTGTCCGAGTCGTCAGGTTGTCTGTTCCCAGCAGGGTGCCTTTTCCTCCGACCCGGAGGAGGCCAATACCCTTCATCTTCGGACGAAGAATTGTAATGGCTGAAGAATGACATCTGAACTAAGCTAAGTTATCCCAGGGCCGTTTATGCAATTCTTGAAATGACAATAATCTGGTGAATTCTCGCTTTTATTGTTTTCACGATGTGATTTAATGTCATTCGAACGTGCTATTCGTGTTTCTGTGTGCCTGGAAATATGTATTTTCTGAACATATCGTGTTTGCGTGTCTAAGATTGGATATGCCCCCTCCGAATTAACTGCCAATGAAAACCAAACAATATTGTGCGTCAGATTTTCTAACTCATTAACATCAAGGTCACACGTGACAAATCATGTGATCGTAGTAGGTCAGTCATTTAAACCAATCAAAATAAATCTGTATGCTATCAGCTAACTGTGGTTGGTTGATCTAAGAAGTAAAATTTGAAGCGCGTCCTTTACTATTGTTTAGGATGACGAAATAATTGTTATGTTAGTGATAAATGTGCGGTGATCGTAAAAGAAATACCTCGAACTGTAGGACTTACTCACTCAACCAAATTACCCATTCCATTGCGGTTCGTATTCAATGAAATTGCTTCTTCTAAGTGCCCCTAAAAATCCTTTTTCTCACTGCTGAATTGTTTCGGCATACGTGTCCATAAAATCTCCCTACATCACTTGACAATGAAATCACACTGTATTTAAAACTAATGGAATTAGTAAAACTAAATCAAACTTGATAGATGGTAGATTCGGTGAATATAGATTAGTAGCACGTTACGATTCCCATCTACCTAACATAAGAAGACTAAGTGTTCAATGTAATTTTTGATATCCACTTAATGCTTGATAAGTTGTTAATCATAATAGGTTGTTCACAGCATTTCTAATGTTTGTGGGAGTTTTTAAACAGTTAGAATGTTTTTAACAACCCACTGCATTGAAGTTGCTGAATGAGTACCTGAAGTATAACATAAAGTTCACTGAATCTACTAATCGTCAATACAAACGTAATTTTCCTTGTCAATCATGTATTGTGACCTCGAGCTTGTATCCTAAAAACATAATGTTGAGGTAGATTTTTTTTTTTCTAGAGAATCATCAGTCTTAGCGACAGTAAAACTGCAAACTCAGAAATACCTTCTAAATAATAATAGCGTTTATGTAGTTGGCTCCGGTATTTAGCATTCAACTGTGTGGAAAACTTACAAAACTGTGACAACTTAGTTATGAAATGCTAATACCTGGCTGAGTATTAACCGATTTCACACGATCCACACATGAGTGTTGCTCATATGCTAACAAGCAACAATACAAGATGGTCACAAAGCTAACTACAGTTTTTTCTGGAGGAAAAGGCCTGAGCAATAGACTTGTTCTTATTATCCCTTCACGGAAAATAGCATCTAAAATCTTGGTGAAGCTGATTCCCTCTCAGATATTTAACCTTGCACCCGTGACGAGGGTAGTTACTGGTGTAAATATCTTGTTGCTGAAGCAAATCAACCCTCCTCAAGATCACAAATGATTTCATTTTATTACCCACACCTAGATTAGTGTAGTATCCCATAAAATCGATTTATCCCTAGTGCATAGACATTGAATAACTATTTTATGTTCAACTCCAGATAAAACATCTGTCATGGGTTTTCGTTTACAGATCAAGTCTTCCTTTTTGTGTCAGCAAATAGAAACATAAAATAAGTAGACAAGCAGACAGACCTATGACATACACGCACAGAAATAGCTGACTTATACATATGTAAACAGAAATGGGTTGGGCGATCGATAAGGTAATACGGACTGAGACATACTGACCTTCACCCTAATCGACCGCAATGTTGCGTGATCCATATAATGACATATTTCGTCAGCTACCTGATAAAATAATTCCTAGACATTATTAGATTAGATAAAATTTTTAAAAAATAAAAATGAAGGAATATACTGGAAAATTAAATCAATATATACGATTGTAGATAATTTATCACAATAGAAATATTCTACTAGAAGTGTCTATTTAAATAAAATATTTGGTATTGTAGATGTGAAACAATTAAAATTAATTTTCTGAATCAGTTTGAAGTAACCAGTTGGTGAGAGAAAAGTTCATCGAATTGACCAGCTCAAATTTAGATGAAAATGAACGGAGCTTTAAGAAAAAAATCGTCAAAATAAGATAACTGATATATTTAAATTATTCACCGTAATTAGAGTACACATCTCCATAGCGTATGTGAGATTTATGATTTCGTTTGTTTTTTGATATTTTGGTTGATATAAGTAATTACATTAGTTTCTCATAAAACTAATGAAATATATACATAGATGTTACAAAGACTTCTATTTCAACATGACAGAAAAGGGAGAACTTCGACCAACACTCAGCAAAACAGTTGATCGATATCTAATCAGTTTGAACATTATTTTCAACTGAATAAATATTAAGACACCAGAAAGTAATTATTATACAATTACGTGGTTGTGAAGATTGTTAAGTTACACATTTTTGAAACCATGAATCGATCAATGAAAGACCACCATTAGAAACCTGAAAGCACTGGAAGTCGTTTCGTCCTGGTATGGGACTCATCAGCAGTACGCATCCACAACACCTGCACCTCACAGTATCCGAACCCAGGACTATTTGTCTTGCGAGCAAACGCCTAACCTCTGGACCACTGAGCCGGTATCTAACGGTATTAATGTTTAAGTTCTCTGGTCACGACTTCCCACTAGAACTTGGAGAAGATTCCTCACGGAGCTAGTCACTAGTGAGCACAGGTGATAAGTCCTTTACCAGGATGAAACGGACGTTCAGTACTTCTAGGTTTCTAATGGTGGTCTAACATTGATCGATTCATGATTCCAAATTATTATACAAGTCGTAAATATCGAGTCAAACTGAATACAGTTTTAGAATTCATGCTGAATGCGATACCAATTGTTCATTGAATCGTATATCTCTGACCATCTTACTCTAAAAATCCATTGTCTGGGTGATATTGTTCTATTCATCATAAAATGTTTATATAATTTAAGCATTCAATGAAAGAATAATCGATCTATTCAAAATACTGATTCTTATTATTTATCCAAATGAAATCAGTTTGTAAAGAAAATTAACTGGAAATTAGACTTAGATTTTAAAAAAATGAAAACTAATTACTTAATCAATAATTTTAAAAAAATTGCTCTTTTATTTCAGTTTCCAGTAAATGCATTCACTACTGTACAAGGTCGAAAATAGTTATTTTGAAAGACTTCGGTTTGATTTATTGCTCAAATAAAAACATTGAAACTAATATTTTCAGAACTTAGTTTTGTGAATTCATATTAGCAGGATATTATTTCAAAACCATACAAGTTTTTAAACTTAATGTTAATGATGGTTTATTTTTCAATATTCAAGAATCCAATGTTTAAATGAGATATTTATTGAAATCTTTTTTTTTTTTTGCTTTTTTTATAAATCATTACAATCAATTGTATTTTAATGTTAACTGATATCACTGAAGTTTTCATTTTGTGATCGTTTATACTATACAGTACAATGTACAATGTACAATGAATCTTTCATGTTTTCTTATTTCTAAGAATGTTTGTACTTTTGTCAGGATTCATAAAATGATTAACAAAATTTGTAAGGAGTTAAGGATGTATTCATAGTGATATGGATTTGCTATTTCAGATTATTTTCATTATTAAGTCTTGTATTCTTGTATTTGTTATTGATCACAGAATGAGTTGGAGCAATTTTTAAACCCATGATCTTCTGAAAGATGAAGAACTCATTTATTGATTTTATAAGCTTGCATCAAGGATTGACCTTAGTTGTATAACTAACTATTAGAAACCAGGAAGTATTTGGGTAGAACACAAAATCTGGCCAATCGGTAAACACAAAACATTTCAACCACTCAGCCGGTATTTATTGGTTAACATGTTTAACTTCAACTAATTCGCGATATTTTGCAACCATCTTTCAATTCATTTGGTGAGTAACTGCCACAAAGTTAACGTAGTTGGATATCCGTAGTCACAGCTTCTTACGAGAACTCTGGGAATCATCTCACTGATTATTATTAGTGTACGGAATGTGTGTAGATTTTTGAATTTGATCTTTTACACATCGGATTGAATTTAGTTGAATTCAATGTTGTTTATATTACGTAATGACGTGTGTATCAATCGATGTATTTATATCATAAGATAACAGTCAGAGAAAACTATTACACTTAGGATGGATTTAACAATAAAATGTTCATAGTACTTACAACTAAAGAACAACTTAAAAGATCGTAATTTAAGCAAATTTTTTTTTGTATGGTACATGAAACATTTGTTAAATCTAATTAATTAACTTTACTTCTTGAGATTCGTTACGTATATCGGAATATTGCATCAAATGATAATTAAAAGTTTATCATAAAATAAATTCCAATTCATTTTTTTTATTAATCCCATGAGTCAAATGAAAATGTAAATTCTAATTTCAAAATAATAGTTGATCTCATAAAAACCGATATATAACCAAGACTTTTTCATATGTCTCTTGAAAATTACTGTATGAAAAAAATTACTGGATTTGAAATGATTGATATAAATATTTCGAAATGATTTTTATATTCAACACGAAGACACTATAGATAATCAATAGAAAGCCTTGGAAATAGATTTTCTTAATAATTAACATTCTTAAGCACAGAATAACTGCAAGCTTCAAGTAATTCATGCTTCTAGTGGTTTTCAAACCACAGTCACTTGATGATATCGTCAGTAGCGATACTATTCAGATATTTCAGCCATTCTATTCCATTTTTTTGTTTGACAGACCAAATTTTGAGGGAAATAAAATTTCGATAAATTTGTTGATAAGTTTTCTGGTTACGAAATGAAGTAACTAACCTTATGATCAAATCTCCTTCATTACTCAGTCCTAAGACCAGTAGTAACCCCAAAAAGGGCTCGAAGAGGCGTTTCTTTATAATGTGTATATCAAGAAAAAGTACTGTTAAGATCCTATAGGAGAAACTGTAGAAAAGTATAGTTAGCGACTACATTTTCAACA